CTTCCCTGCATGGATTCAATAAATAAGACATAACTGGGTCCCTGAACTATATTAACAAGTCCATGAACGCTTCAGTGTACGGTGTATTTTTATAGTTAACATTTTTCATTTGTTTTCCATTTTTATAGTTAACATTTTTTATTTATTTCATTTTTCTATTTATATATCTATACCATTTACTCAGTATTTTAAACTATACGGACGGATGGACAGCTTCTCTATATCCCCCTCGAACTTCGTTCGGTGGGATAATTACATATACCACATGTCAATAAAAGTTTTAATCGATAAAAACAAATTCCTTACACATTTCTTTATCTTGTTGTGAAACAACAAGCTATAATAAAGGCCAACTCGCCAGAAATTAAATAAATATTATTTGAAGCGATTTTAGAAAATTTTGAAACCGCCATCTTCATGACATACTGTGAAATCTGTACATGTACAGGGCGTTCAATAAGTATTGCTAATTTTGTTATAACGTTTGTTATCTTGCATATTTCTTCATGAAATTTTTACAACATAAGCAACACATATCTGACCTTATTCTATCAAAATTTCTGGACAACCAACTTAGTATTGACAAAGTTATGGTTACTAGGGTAACCATTGTCGCGGATACGCGGGGCAACCTTAAGGGTTTACATGATGAATTATTGTTATACAACAAATAAACACTTTGATGAATAAAAACTGTTGATATGGTCAAATCTTGATGTTGTCAGTTTCAATTATATGTATTATCTAACAGCGGTGAAAAGAGATCTGAGAGGAATATCGCACTAGAATCTCAACCAGCGGATGTCTGCAGTGAACACCTCCCTAGCCACACACTTTAAGGGTGGCTTCAAAAATGTGTACCACGAGTGGGTCACCAGACTGCAACTGTGAATTGAGTTAAACGGCATTAAATAATACTGCTTTCAACACTCAAAATGTCGTCCAAAGTGACGTCAGAAATTTGCCCCGCATATCCATGATACTGGTTACCTTAGTAACCATAACTTTGTTAATACTGATTTGATTGTCTTGGAACTTTCATAGAATAAAGTCAGATATATGTACCTTATGTTGTGAAAGTTTCATGAAGAAAAAGAAAACAGAACAAAAGTTATAGCAAAATTAGCAATACTTATTGAACGCCGTATATAGTTTATACCTATGGAACCAAATAAAAATAATAAAAAAAAATAAAAAAAAATACCTATGGAACCATAAAACGTGTCCAATGTAGGTAGGTGTTTACTATTCACCTTTCCACATAGGAAAGAAAATCGATAATTTCTGGCGCGCTGATTGGTTGTATGCAAATGAGTCAAATCAATGACGTCAATGCCTGAAAGTTTTGGAGAATTAGTACAGCCAGCATAGGAATATTTTGAATTAACTTCAATAAAAAAGATTCTATTCGCCCGATGCACTAATTATTTTTAATCAAATATGAAATATAGAAGGGGCACTTTCATTCCGAATCTTATGTTATTTAATTTAATAATTTTTTGACATAACTATTGTTTATTAAGACTTCTCAGATCAGCCTAACATACCTGGGCTCACATGTCTTGTGCGATTGTAAACAAAAAATGTGATTGTGAAATTAAAAACAACTCGGTTAAATTATCTGATAGTGGTATACAATATCCTGTTAAATTGGTGTATAATTATTATGTCGTAGTAAGAAGTTCCATCAGAAATTCACCATGAGTGACATTCGAGCAAAGCGTTACCTTTTGGTATTTATTCGCCATCAGCGATGTCAATAATGATCAGCAATGTCAACATATCATCAATAAACATTATATGCTATATGCTCTTTCTCTGAAATCTTCCCAGTGATCATTATTCAAAACCGATCATCACATAACTAATTTATCCTATGAAAAGTAAGGTTTCGTAAGTGAAGTTTTCAGGACACCCTGCATATCCAGGTTTGTTTTCTATTAAGCGTTCTTATTCTCATTATTTTCGAGAAATCCATCATCATTTTGGTTAAGAAAAATTCTACGGTCTGCTGGATCTATTTTGACAGTTTTGCTTTAGCAAGATATTTTAACAAATTGACTGTTTCTACACTGAATAAAAAACATTTTCCCGGGAATATTTGGATCGGGAGATACGCAGCGGGAAATATACATTGGAATATAATATATAGAGATTATCCTATATGAGGTTCACGATATAATATATCTGCCCGAGGGCCGCAGGTCCCGAGGGAAAATATATTATATTGGCCAAGGGATAATCCCAATATCCTGAACCGACTATAGGATAATATGTTTATCCCATACCATACCATACCAATCTGGTTCACATTGTTCAATCGTGGAAATATTTTAGAATATTCATGTCCAGTTTTGTTTTCTTGGCCTTGGGCGGATTTTCCTGTTCTCTCAAACATTCCCATATTTATTTTCTCGAATATTTGATTGATTAAGTGGATGCTTTTTCCCTTTTTTAAACAATCAAACAGATCCCGATTGTCTGTGTTTTCTCCATTGTCATTTACAGTCATTACACGAACGTAACAAATTATGAACAAAATATGCGAGCCACGATTATGATGTAGCAGGCAGATATAGTTCTGCCCGTTCGGAGCGGGAGGTAAAGCTATATCTGCCCACTGATGAAAATATAAGTTTTTACAAACCGGCTTTATGTACCTGTAACACGATGTTTATCCCATACTAAATCGCTTAGAAGGCGTGAATAAATGTCAATTTGACGTTCAATAAAAATCCGTTAATAATTCACCGATTACTTGCACATTTGAAGAGGTAAACTTACAGCAATCAACTGAGGATTTACATGTAAACTCAATTGCATTTGTTTTTCGCGGGAAAAAGTTTCTCTCATTGACGTCACAGATTTTTAAGCAGCTCATTATAATATTCATGAGCTGACTTTGTGGTGAATAGGGAGGGGATTTTACACAGGAGTCATTCCTAAATCACCGTGGTCAGAGGTAACGCGGCGCAGTCAAGCATATCTGCTCAAAACGAGGCTGCAACGCGGCAAAGACACAAAATGGCCACTCAGTGGAAGGTCGAAAGGGCGGTAAGTTTATTCATAAGCTTCATACACTAGTTTGTGGCTGCTACAGTTATAATAGCATACACCATTCGGTGGAGAACTTTACAGAGTATGTCTATGTGAAGCTTCTTGAAATTAAGTCAATCAGGGAAATACATTCCAAGTCAATCAAAGTCAATCACTTACTGAAATTTGACAATTGTGGCATTTTTCTAGCTTAAATTCTATGTTTTTGACTTTGTCACTTGACACATATCTATTAAATCACGTATATACCACGGTAATCTCTATTTCATAACTGTTTGCCTTCTGTTAACCGATTCTGGGTGGAAAACCAGGTATATTTTGGAAACGCAGTTCAGACACTTCGGCAACGCGGGTTCAGACATCATACATATTTGACAAAACTGGAAACGCAGTGACAGCAATGCAGCTGATGTTCTATCGTGTACGATAATTACATTATCAAAGCATTCTCTATCTGCTTTTTTCTAGACAAAAACACCAAGATAATTATGCACCAGATATGAATTTCCGTTTATTCCCCTCGACATTTATGTTTATTGTAGAATTGCTCCCTATTCTTGGTCTCTTCGTTCTGTATAGGGATAGATTGGTATTGCTTGATCTTTTTCTGAAAAAAGTCACATGCCTTATTAAATCAAAATCCTCGACAGAAAAGCATAATGCAAAACTTCTTTGTACTTTACAATACAGAGAAAGTTGATGCCTGCATCGCGTTGCCATACAATTTAATCTATGCTGTCGACGCGGCGCCATAATTGCTGAAAATGACTGCGCCGGGTTTCCGGCTAGTTCAATTTTGTAAGCAGATTGCGATGAAAATAAACAAAAGTTTCAATCTTAATTTGTATTGTACATTCTATAAGTATCAGGCTATTGAATGTCAATGTTAAATTTGCTCATGAGTGGCGAAATACCTCCTAATTGGAATAAGAAGATAGGTCAAGAGAAATAGGATCGGGAAATCATATCTGCGTTGACTATTTCTTTACTCTGGTCAATGCCTGAACAGAAATTCTTATAGCTTTACATACCTTAAGGGGTTGATCACCGAGTGTGAAGCATGAGTTTTCAAAAACTTACCTATGTTTCGAGGAAACAGAGGACGAAGTGCCTCCGATAATTGGAGTTGCCTCCATTTTGTGTCTTTACCACGTTGCAGCCTCGTTTTGAACAGATATGCTTGACTGCGCCGCGTTACCTATACCCACCTTGTAAATGTGTCTTGAAGCTACTCATTCTCAAAATTCATTTTGTTCGTTGCGTATCTCGCTCCTAGCTAACCGCCATATTGGAAATGGGTCGAAAAAACATTCACTTGATGAACAATTTACAAGTCTTGATCGAAAAAGAAGTATTTCAGCACTCTAATACTTGCACGGATTGATGATACTGATGAAAGACACAGTTAGAGACCAAAAGTAAGCCGCGGATCTCATTATTCAAGTTTTATAGGTCACTATTATTTAGCTGTCCAAGTGCGCCGTGGGAAAGCTATTATATCAAAATCCACATAGCTTTCGCAGGAAGTAACATTTGACCATAAATCAGAATTCCTGAAGTATTCTACTTAAATTAAAAATTCTATGGTTCCCCTGTGTCAGGGGACATAGCCTGCCTTCCTGGAAAGGAAAGAGCATTTTCCTTACCCCTTATCAAATGACCCCGACTCGCTCTGATTAATATGCTACATGCATTTAACACATGCAAATAGTCCACCTGTGTAGCTCTGGCTAGAACTTGTTTTCTCTGACATAGTGACCTCTGTTCAGGGGAAGACTAATTTGTTTCTTTAAAAAATCAGGGTGTCTAACTACATGGTCCACACCTGCTAAAAAAGGCTATGATGTTGGCTCCTAAAAGAACAGTTTTTTGTTCAAGGGTCCAAAAAAAAGATTTTCTATAATTTAGGTAAGTTTATTATAATATATTTTTCAACTTTTCAGAGTCCGGAGTGCCTAATGTAATACTGGTATGAGCAGTCACTTTCAAAGATGACATCACAAGGTAATATAATAATTGTATTATTACAGTATTGGGAACAATGTCAGAATATTGAAGTACATCAAGAAATATAATCAATCAAGTTTGGGTAGGGGGTGAAGTCAATTTCACTTTGCTGGAAACATTGACTTTTTCCATAAACATGCCCGTTGATCGGAAGAAATGAATGGAGGGGAGTAGCTGATTTTCGGTACAAAATTCAAAAAATCTTGTAGATTTATTTTTCAAGAGAAAGTTTACAATTGAATGGCTAAATGAATAGGCGCAGTTCATGGGGATATGTTAGGTCTTCTTGGAGTTCTAAGATAAAAGATCTATTAAAAAAGGTACAACGTCGCCAACTTGAAAATGCCAATGTTTTTGCTATAAATCAAGCAACATGGGTCTACACAACCTGTAATAAATACTGGTAAGTGAAGTAATTATAACAAAACTATTGTCATCGTTGGATTTGTAAAACATGATACCATACGTTATATCAAAAACTAGACAACAGCAACGCCAAAGCGTAGCAAATCCCATCGAACAGCCATGGCTGGCATTTTTACAAAGTATACAGCAAAAATGGCAGCCATTTTTCAAAATGGCTACCTTCTTATGTCATTAGTGTCAAAAGTGTCATTAGACAGTGTGCCATGCTTATAGTATTCACATACCAAATATGAACAAAATCGCTCCACTACTTTTTGAGTTAAAGTAAAATACGTTAAAATGGTGGCCATTTTTCAAAATGGCCGCCTTCTACCAAAAGTGTCATTAGACAGTGTGCCATGCTTATAGTATTTACATACCAGATATGAACAAAATCGCTCCACTACTTTTCAAGTTATAGCAAAATATGTCAAAATGGCGGCCATTTTTCAAAATGGCCACCTTCTACCAAAAGTGTTATTAGACAGTGTGCCATGCTTATAGTATTCACATACCAAATATGAACAAAATAACTCTACTACTTTTCGAGTTATAGTAAAATGTGTTAAAATGGCGGCCATTTTTCAAAATGGCCACCTTCTACCAAAAGTGTCATTAGACAGTGTGCCATGCTTATAGTATTCACACACCAAATATGAACAGAATTGCTCCGCTACTTTTCGAGTAACAGCAAAAATCGTAAAAAAATGAGTTAAGGCCGCCATTTTTCAAGATGGCTGCCATGTGCTTCTTTAATATCTTTAATTTTTTACATTTAAAACATATTGCTATTACAGTTTTACTACATACTGCACCTAAATTACTGTAAAATCAGCACTAAAATGGCCGCCATTTTTAGATGAGTGGCCATTTTGAAAATCGGCTTTCGAGCAGAACTTCTACCCCCATAGGGTATATGTGTACAAAATATGAACAAAATTGGGCCAACAGTATTTGAGTTATTGCCTGGATGGAAATATGTACGTACATACGTACGGAGGTCTTCCCTATATCCCCTGAACTTCGTTCGATGGGATAATAATCAAAAATTATTAAAATTGAACGAAAGGGGGGAATGAACGGAGGGGGGAGGAGTAATGTGTCTATAGACATTTGAAAAGAGATGCAACTTGACTTTATTTCCAATATATCTTTTATTGACTCTTTAGATGTCATATCATGACATATTAGTCACTAAGGTAGAGCAGTTCTTCCCATTGTCGAGTTGAAGAACTGGTATCTTTATCCTGGCTAGAACCATAGACAATTCTACCCAGCGCCGGCCTTTTATCGAGTCAGCAGCACTCTAGTAATCACCGGTATAGGTCAGCAGTCATAGGTCAAAGACAAATCACAAGAAGTGCTGTGACCTGGGTTTGAACCGAGGACCTCGACTTTTCAGCCTGAAGCCAGACTTCCTGCTTTTCAGACCAATGCCTTAACCACCAAGCTAACCCGGCGACCATATGTCCCCATTTTTCACTTATCAGAGTAGTAACATCAAGATGTTACTGAGTAACTGAGTTCATTTTTCAAGTACACAAATTCCCCCTCCATTCAATTTTATTTTCAATTATTTTCTATCTATCGTTTGGAAAATTATTTAAAAAAAACGGCAATGACATTAATTTTGTGATAAAAACGTCGCTTATATATATTTATTACAGGTCGTGCAGACCATTGTTGCATGATTTATAGCAAAAACATTGACATTTGCTTGTTGGTGATGCTGCGCCTTTTTTAATAGATCTTTTATCTTAGAACTCCATCAGTTCAAAAAAATCCAAGAAGACCTAACATATTTCCCTGTGCACTGCGCCTATTCATTTAGCCATTCAATTGTAAACTTTCTCTTGAAAAAATAAATCTTCAAGATTTTTTGAATTTTCAATCAACTTCCCCCTCCGTTCATTTCTTCCGATCAACGGGCGTGATAAATATGTTAAGGGTTGGTTTTAATCTGAAATTATTTTTAAATGTAAAAGTTTTACTCCTTGCTAAGAGGAAATTATTTTTGAAGAGGAAATCCAGAAATATTGTAAAAAGCTTGTAAAAAATGTTCATAAGTAGTTAAAAGTCTCCAAATATCTCATAATAGCAGGCCTCAAACAAAATATTAAATCTTTAAACGGACTGTATAGACAATAAAGGCAAAATAAATCATCTAATTAAACACAAGTATAAATAAATCAACTGCCCTTAAGCTGACTCATCGATTTAATTGTAAAATATACCTAATATACTTCAATTTCATTTTCAGATAAATTTCTACTCAAGATTGGCAATAGGATAGGTGACAAGTATAGTGCTCTCGGCATCCAGCTAGGCCTCAACAATGCCGATATTTTCTACATAAAAGGGAATAATCCCCATAATTCTGCACAATGGGGATATGATATATTATCAACATGGGCACAAAGACAACCAAACCAAATGCCATTACTAGCTGAAGCTCTTAGAAATCAAGAGGTGGGCAGAGTTGATCTTGCAGAAATGGTGGAAGCATACATAGCTGGTGCCAAAACCCATCTAGATTATAAATATTGCAAGGACCATGGAGCTAGTATAAAGAAAATGGAAGCAGAAATTCAATATCAAGGAGATCAGATACATAACCTAAAAAATCAAAATAAGCAACTAGAAGTAGATGTAGCCAAGGGTAAGATGGCATATGAAACTATGGAATCTGAACATGAGAACACAAAGTACACCTTGAGGCAGGCAGAACAAAGAATAGTCTCATTGGAACAAAAGACTGCAAGTTCTACAACAAAGGCTAAGCTAGAAACACATCCATCCTCAAATAGGATGCTCTCCCTAGAGTCTCCCTCAATTAGCTTTAGCTACATCGAGGACGACGACGGCGGCAACGACGGCGGCAACTACTACGGCGGCAACAACTACTACATCGACTACATCGTAGATGCGGCAACCTTTGGCAAAGGTTGGCCAAAGCGAAGCCATCCCAGAAGCAAGAGCAGTAATTACAGGTCATGAGCAATGATAGCAATAGCATTGATCATACCTTACTTGCCCTTCCCTTTCATACCAAACACTGAAAGTTTAATAGGTACTAATCCTTTTTCAAATATAGTGTTCAGGATCATAAGCATAATAATTAGGAGTTCTGATTATAAAGGTTAGCTATAATTTTAATCGAATTATACAAATAACATATATTTAATAATTAATATAAAATTTCATACATACTTATTATTTTGATCAATGCTGTTTAATAATTTAATCATACTTTTAATAACAAAATTCGAAAATCAATATAAACTATCAATTTGAAATTCAAAGTAATATACAGTGTAATACTGAAATTCAAAGTGATCATTTATATTATAACCAACTAGGGTGACATCTTTCAATGTACAAACAACTTAAAGTGATATCTATGTTGAAGTGCTATTAGTACTAAGGAATTGACGAAATTTCCTCCTGTTGAAGCTATATTGTTTTAAATATAGATTTAATATCACTGTACTATTGTTGCTTGTTGAGCATCACACAACATCACCATTTTTTATTTATTTGGGATTACCCAGGGGTCATTTTTAAAAAGAATTTTTTTTATATTTTGCTAAGGTGACCTGAAACTAATTTGGCACCTAGTCTTGTATAACTATTTTGCTGTAGTTTTGTATTGGATCAATTCTGAGGGACCATATACAGGCCTCCTAGACTTCCACTAACAAGAACATCAGTAGCTGACCAACCTATGAGGTTGTTTAGAAAACTAAATATCAATTTATGCACCTGATATTTTGGCATCAAAGTTTGTAAATCTTCTAAAATGGAACTTTTTTATTTTGTAATATGTTTGACAAACTTGGAAATGAAATAACATTTACAAGTAATATGGAAATATAATGATTCTGTACATAACATAGCTTTAATTTTTCTTTTGTTTATTCATGATAACGTTTAACTTTAATGGATGAGAAAAGAGCTTCTGCAACTTTGCATTGTATTTTTGTTACCATGGATACACACATCAGTTTTAATTTGCCCCCCCCCCCCACTGTTCAGTAGGTCAATGCCAATGTATGAAGAGATTCCTACTCAATCACATATGCTACCCTTGTAAGCAAAGCAATTCTGATTATGAATGGAAAATTCCCCTCTATTTTCTAAGTACAAAAAATACCACAATTTTACCTATTACCATCAATTATAAACATAGCAGTTGAGTTGTAGTCTACTAATTGCCCAAATGAACAAATTGCTTCTCTCTTTTCCTACAAAATTCTGTACTCTGTTATCATTAAGCAACTACTCAGGACTGAATCACATTGTAAACACCAGAGCGCATTAACCTACTACCTAACTATGAATCCTTTTCTTCTTTTAAGAATTTCAAATGTTATATTTCATAATTCTAAAAAAAACAAAATCTAAAAATCTTAACAAAACTGTTAAATGATTTTTACGTCATTAGAACATCAAAATATCAACATCAAAATATCAAGAGTAATGAAGAAAATGATTTATATTTAGAATTCATTGTTTAGATTACCATACAAGTATTGTATTTTTTCATGTGCACACTTGACTTCACTGGTAATAACTCAGATGAGAGTAGGCAGTTACCAGTTTCACCACCAGGTGGTTCGTTTGGGTAAGATAGCATGGCAGATATAGGAGAAAGTTAACTTAAATATTCATCTGCTTTAGTGGTTCAATTTTCATATCACTTATAGTTATACAAATTAAAATATGTCCAGTAAAAGAAAATGTTATCTGTCCAATGCAAGAAAAGATATTTTACATTTTGTGATTTTATAACATGGGGAATCTCCCCAAACTCGTAGTTATATTTTCAAAAAATCAAATTTGATAAAATCAAGTTGATAAATAATTTTCGATACCAAATTTCTTGAAGTAGTTTTACATGTAGATTTCAAATATGACATCACTGACTGATTTTGAATATTTAATGACATAACCCAAAATTATTTCTACTCTACTCGCATCTAGTCTATTGAAGCAAGAGTCAAATCTCCATTTACCCAGCATCTCTCTAAATGCTAAGCCAGAAGTGATTTTCTGGGGTTAGAAACTTACCCTGATTTTCTCTCTGATGACTTCATTGAGTTGTAGCACCCATGGATGAGTCCATATTCTCATTAGTTCTTGGTAGTCACTGAACAATCTAAAATAAAAAAATTGCGATTATAAAACAATTTGTCACAGACTCTGAATGCTGACACCGGCACAAACACCAACAAAGCATTAACATGTCACAACCTGCCATTTGTTACAGACACCAACCACCAAACATGGAATGCCAAACACCAACCTCTGAACACTGTCCACAAAAAGGTACCATAACAGAATGTCCCCATTTGTTGTGGTGACAGAAAAACAGTTTCATTACAAAAACATGATGTCATCTTCAAGGTACAGTGTATCCATAATTTCACAACAATTTTACCTTGCTCCATGTGATATGATCTTGCCGTCAGGTCCTGTGTTCAAGTTGATCCTAAGGTACTCCTCGTATAATTTGATTTGTGCTTCAGATAATCTCACAGATATTACATACTCATGTTTCGGAGGTAGGAATTTGGTCAATGCAGAATAATCCCTCCTCTAAAAACACAATTTCATTTCTTATATTAACATGCAGTTTTTAACAACAGGAAGAATGTACTGAGTTGATATAATTGAAAAATTTGAAGATGATATATGTCGTGGTTTTGAAGAAAACTGTCGGATGGACAATCAAACAGATGGATGGATAGACGGACATTGATGTACCAAGGCTGACACCTATGTGGTGGAGAGAAAAATGGTAGCTATAACAATATGTCATCACGTCTTTGTGGATGTCACAACTTCTTTGAGCTAATATTAAATTCAGCAAGGTTCCTATTAGGGATCCCACGATACATTTTGTTTCGTTTCGATACGTATCTCGATATTATGAAAACGATTCGATACAAACGATTCGATACACATTTATTGCAAATTGAAAAGATACTATAACATCTTAAAACATTAAAATAAAGATACGTCTAGGGCCCTATCGCATTTATTACGTATTAAGATAATTTATGGTATAATATTTGGTGTGAAAATGAACAAAGGGCATCTAAAATCACAAATGTTCGCAAAATTATTGAAAATCCATTTATTGCTAAAAAGTTCATGTTCGGTTTGAATCACGAAAATATGTGGCGTGTCATGTTAGCTCTTCAAAATATTTTTAATTTTTCGCGGAGTTTTGCTGTGTCAATTTTGGTTTAATTGAGCTCTTTTACTTACTTAACGGGTGAGTTGGTTTGAAAAACGATTATCGATAATATCGAAAATAGAGGATCCATATCGATTAATCGAATCGGAGGTGATTTCTAGCGATTATATCGATGCATCGAGCAATCGTGGGATCCCTAGTTCCTATAGATACATTACTGAAAATTGAAAGGGTGGCCTCAATAACTGTTGAAGCTGAACTATGCTCACCTGAACACATCCGACCAACATTTCATGAAGAACATGGGCGCGGCGTTTCATAATCTTGTGATCTCTGGGTGTTGAATCAACACATTGTCCATTGCTGATTGGGTTGACAAATCTGTTCTTGAACTCTCTGGTTGTACCAAGTAGGTTGGGCTTCACGAAGTTAACCATGCAGTGGTCTACAGGATAGAAAGAGTTAAATATGAAAACATTTAAAATAAAACGATAATTTATAAAATTATTTTAGTGTTTAAAATATTGCTTATTTAAACTCTAGAGTAAGTTAAAAAAAATTTTATTTAAAATAAATTACAGTTCAATATAATAATCCTATTCAAAATCTCCATTATAAGGATCATGTTATTTCTTAAACGAGGACACTCACATTCAATGAGGTTATTCTGCAATGGTGTTCCTGTGAGGACAATCCTCCTGCGAGTCCTGATGTTATTCATACACTGAGATATTGCAGACGACTCATTCTTTAATATGTGACCCTCGTCACAAACCACCAAATCTGGACCTAAAAATATGTAACATTAAAATTATCTGGCTTAAACTTGACTTAAAAACTGGCATAAGCAACAAACAGATTCAAAAGTCATTCCACAAAAACCCTTTTAAACCATTTAATTCAATCATTCTTTTGCTTTGAACCCAGAGTTCAGTTTTAAACTAACCTCTCAATAGTAGAGACAATGTTTACAGTTTAACACTTCCAAACACTGTTGGTGGCTATCACACTCCTAGTCATAGAGGTTTCTCTTTTACTTAAAGAGTGTAGAATCTTTTAAAAAGCTGTGACAAAAGAAAGCAAAGGGTACCATTCTTCCAAAAAATCACATGACTAACTATACCTGGATTTATAAGTGATTCTTCGAACGTTTTCTTTAGGGCTTTACTCTTCGTGTTAGACATGGCTAATATCCTAAACAATGAGTAGCCCATAACCATGACACCCCCACTCTTTGTCCACTTGCGGAGCCTTATCCCTCGTTCTTTGTTGTCTTTTGCAGTGGCTAGCTCATAAACCTGAATATAATAAATAGAGTATAAGGCATTAATATGCAAAATGTCACTACCTCCCATTTGTAACTGATGCTGAATGTCTAACACCAACCACCATCCACAAAAATGTTGGAGACTATAGCAATAAGGACATAATAGAGTATAGGGATCAGTGTCCCTCTATCAACAGTAATGGTAGAAGAGAGTTAATAATTTCCTATGTGGGCAAGGAGTAAAATATTGATTTTCAAATACAATGCAAACCAACAACAACAAAATGTTACATTAAATGAGGGTGGGATTCAAAAATTATGAAATCACATTAACAAAACAAGGCATGAATATGCAAAATGACACCACCTGCCATTTGTTATAGACATCCACCAACCACCAAATGCCAACCACTTAACACAACTTCTGGTCATGACACAAAAACATTGATATTCTGATGACTAATATTTTCTACTTACATCTAATTGGTCCTCCTCATCAAACCACTTCTCCCATTCATTCACCCAGTTGAGGATTGTGTTAAGGGGGCACACAACTAGACACGTCTTCATCTTAGTAAGATTCTGATGACTTAGTAATGTATGGACTAGACTTATACTCTGGAATATAAAACATAGTTGTATCAGTTGAGTATCGTATTAAGGGGGCACACAACTAGACACGTCTTAATCTTAGTTAGATTCTGATGACTTAGTAATGTATGGACTAGACTTATACTCTGGAATATAAAACATAGTTGTATCAGTTGAGTATAGAGTAAAACCTGTCTAATCCGAACACCCATGGGACCAGCCAAAAGCGTTCAAATTGGCAGGTGCTCAAATTTCGAGGATTTTGTTGGTCGGGGGGGGGGGGGGATTTTCATTGTTCAGTACACTATATTGAACACTTAATACTAAGTCAGAAAACAATACATGTTGTTGATGTGTTTATTCTACAATATGCCTATAGTCTATAAGCTATGTTTTATTTACATTTTGAACAATTTCACTATTTTAGTAAAAATAACTTTTATATTTTGAAGTACACTGTAGAAGTATATGATAGTCTCGTACGAAATCTTATGCTAATCAAATGACTTATCTCACATTATGGTTGAATTTTTTCTCTTTCTCGTGATACAATCTTGTCTGCAAATGTGTCTGTGTTATCTTTGTGATTATAAAACATTTTCTGATTGAATCTTAGCTATCATAACAGACCCATGGGATATAAAACAGTTAGGACCTGTTCAAAATCCAAATCAAAAACATCCAATTCATTTACAATAAGGATAAACCAATTATCTCCCAGATTCACACCTTTCTCTTAATCTAAATCAAAAACATCCAGGTAATTTCTAATAATGATAAACCAATTATCTTCTTGATTCACACCTTTCTCTTAATTTAAACATAAAACATTCAGTTTTTTTTCTAATAGGATAAACCAATTAACTCCTGTACTCACACCTTTCCAAAACATCCTGTTGTTTTCCACAAATTAGGGATGTCTCTGAGACTAAATAAATTAGTAAGGACAATATTGGTGCTTTGATTACATTGTATGTAAAGATAAATAACAACTATAACATTGACTCAATATGTGGCTATTATTGAAATGTTCAGACATTTGATTTCTGATATAAATGTTCAAATTAGACAGGTCAGTTTTTCAAATCTGGTTGTTCACTGTTCAGATTTCAAGGTTTTTTTAACATGGGAGTCAATGGGAGGAAAAAATGGGACTGAAAAAAGTGTTCAAATTGGAAGGTGTTCGGTTTAGCCAGGTGTTCAGATATACAGGTTCTACTGTAGTATTAAGGGGGCACACAACTAGACACGTCTTCATCTTAGTTAGATTCTGATGACTTAGTAATGTATGGACAAGACTTATACTCTGGAATATAAAACATAGTTGTATCAGTTGAGTGTAGTATTAAGGGGGCACACAACTAGACATGTCTTCATCTTAGTAAGATTCTGATGACTTAGTAATGTATGGACTAGACTTATACTCTGGAATATAAAACATAGTTGTATCAGTTGAGTGTAGTATTAAGGGGGCACACAACTAGACATGTCTTCATCTTAGTAAGATTCTGATGACTTAGTAATGTATGGACTAGACTTATACTCTGGAATATAAAACATAGTTGTATCAGTTGAGTATTGTATTAAGGGGGTACACAACTAGACACGTCTTCATCTTAGTAAGATTCTGATGACTTAGTAATGTATGGACTAGACTTATACTCTGGAATATAAAATGCAATAATAATTAATACTTCATCATTTCTCAATAGTATTACACATATTTTTCATTTTTCTATCTGTGATTTTTTAGATATTAATATTACAAATGGTTTACTATATTTCTAGCCAGTTGTCTTTTATATATTTAAAAAAACACTCCCAACAAAAAGTCTGGCTTGCCAAACTCAAACTTTTGGACCGCATGTAAAATAGCTTGATGATGTAAGCCAATTTCAAAAAAAATAGGACCCACGGTCCTGTGCTCACACAGTTTGGAACCTTCAGAGGAATGTATATCCTGACTTTAAAACAAAAATATTGATTTGGATTTGTAGTCTTGAACTTTGAGAAATAAACACAGTTGTGTGACCTAGTTTGATGACCTTTTACCTTGAAAATTTGACTTATTCAGAGCTCAGTAAGGTCTTTTGTGATTAAGCTGACCAAAATTTACATCCAAAAATCAATTTGAAAAATGAACTTTTTTGACCTTTCAAAGGTAACTGAAGGTCAAGTAAAGGTCAAATCCTAAAACTAATGTCAGATTTGAGCTCCTGGCAACTTGTAGATGATTTTAAAAAACATTTGGTCAAATTGAAGCAAGTTGAAAAATAACTTATTTTTACTGTTTTTTTGACGTCATATATCTCAAAAACTGTAAAAATTTGATGCTGACATATATTGAGCAATATGTAGGGAATGCTTAAATCTAGTAATGATGTAATTCATTGCAAGAAATGATCTAGTATAAGGCAAACTTTGAGAAACTTGTCAATCACAAAACCTGCCATTGACTTTATACATGAGAAAGTTTCCTGAAAATGACTAAGTCCTACTTTTTGCCAAATTTTATAGAGTAAACACCAAAAACTGTAATTCCAAGAGCTTTGAAATCTTCAGAGGACATAAGTTGCATATACAACAACTACTAAAAGTTATTTGAAAGTTCTACTTCAACAAAGTGTCTAGTATTTACAGAAAATTTGACCTTTTGACGTCAAAATCCGCAATTTCCCGGAAACCGGGTGAACTTGGGAAATGGCGATGATAGGTCAAATAGGCATTATGGATATGCATAAAATGAATTTGGGTACGACTCAATTCGAATAGCAGTTTTAATTTGTGCGGCCAATGTTGACGGACGGACGGACGGACCAACGGACGGACGGACGCCTGGTCGATCCCATAGGCTCACTGTGTGAGCCAATAACAGCAAAGTCCGATCTCTCGTAATTGAGAAACTTGAAAATTATGATTCAAAATCAAACAAAGAAGTTTTTACACATTACCCCATGGAGACTTACAGTTGCTAAATTTATGGGAGGGGTTGTACATTATAAGATGAGCAACTGATTCTAAGCAGCTACTAATGGAGACTATAGTCTCATTAAGACCCTTATACTCACCGAGAGAGTCTTCCCAAGACCCATGCAGTGAGCCAGAATTGCACCGGACCCAGTAGACGACCTCATTGTTTTCAAATTCTCTACTATACAATCCCATAGAAACTCCACAGCTGAAATTACAGAGATAGAGAACATATTTTTAATAGCTTTTGAGACGATAAAACACAGAAATGCATTGGGAAACCTCATTATGTTTAAATTCTCTACTGTTGGTAGAACCCTAAGCTTGAATAAGAGAATGAGGATTAGATGAAGTCGCTATTTCACTCTACTATACCTTGCATTTTGTGTTCATGAGCAAACCATTTGGCTTATTAGTAATGATTGTGTTATTTGCTTTTATTTGTCAGTTCCTTATTAATGGTTTATCAGATTACTGTTAGATGTTAATAAGGAACTTTCAAAAATATAATAAACAATACAATTAGACAAAGAGAGTATGCATTTCTAGGGGTTAGGTATAGTAAAGTGTATCTTATATAGACCGCATTTCACACTACCCTAGCACGTGACCACGTTTAAAAGGGAAACAGGGTCCAATTAAGTTGTAAATAGAGGAAGTGGGTTTAAATCAATATTTCTGAACGTAAAATACATTTTACATTTATTTCTAGTGTTCTACTAAACATAAAATAGATTCATCAAGCAGTTTGTAGAATATTGTTTCCAAAAACCAATATTGGCAAAGATAGAGAATAGTGGGCGCAGTGAAGTAAAACTTGAAAGCAATACAAGATACAATTCAGTAAATCTATTAAGTACATGGAGCATGTAAGTTGCATTTCGAAAATGTCATTTGTTTTGACATTGATATGTAAATAAAAATCTTGTTAACTGTTATTTGCATTGGTTCAAGGTCATATTAGGTACAATTTAATCCTGTTCACTATACTATACCTTGCATTTGGTGTTCATGAGCAACCCATTTGGCTTATTAGCAATGATTATGTAATTTGTTTTTATTTGTCCGTTCCTTATTACTGATTAATCGGATGACTGTTAGATGTTATTAAGGTACTTTCAAAAATATACTATACAATACAATTAGACAAACAGAGTATCTTAAGCATTTCTAGAGGTTAGGTATAGTAGAGTGATGTTCTAGGTTTCATGGTTATTTTCCAATGGTTAAAATTTCATGCCTATTTTACAAAACATACTCAAAATGCTTAAACATGCCAAATTCATCCGGGCATGAGCATTGTTTTGTAAAATAGCCATAAAATCGTGACCATTTTGATTAGACCTATGAATCTTAGTAAAATGAAATAATATTATACAAGGTTTAATTGTGTGATCTTAAAACCATTCTGGATGACTGAGTTATTAACATTTTTGGGGTTACTCTTTTTGGCTCACCCTGTGTATAAGAGTAGGGATTAAATTATGTTAAACGTCTACATAAAATCGATACAAAATGCAAGTGTCATTATCCGGGGACTATAAATAGAGCAATTTTCGTAGCATTAAGGTTTAAACTTTTGAATCTAAAATGGACTAAGTATGGATGGATTTTTTAGTCTTTTATCTTCTACAGTTTTTTCAATGCTCGACATTAAAATTGATTCTATTGTACAAAAATAATCAACAAATATAGTTGATTACCTTGAGTTTATCATTTTATTAAAATCTAAGTCCAAATATACCAGTATATATTTAATATGTACAATTATTTGGTCCAACAAACCATAGTGTAATTTACAGCGTCATAATTATGTCAAGCAAAACAAGATAATATATAACATAAATATAACATTTTTTGTTGAATCTCACCTTTTTGTGACCCACCATGTATATTGTTCTAATTTTTCTCATAAAACCACTTTCACCTCAACACGATTACACACCAGGGTTATTTGAGACAAAAATTAAATCAGAAATGAAAATCCCAATTTCATGAATTGAATACTAGTTTCTATATACACTGCTCATGACTACCAAATCTGATATCTACACATACATTTTATAAATAATAGGTGTTTATACCTATACAAATACCTTATATACAACTAGTATGTACAGGATAATTCTACATTTTCTAAATAGTCTCTGCTTTGGTAGTTGGTTCATAACTACAGGATGGCCCAAAAATGCAATCAATCTGAATTTTGACTTTTTTTCAATATCGATGTAATGTTCTTTAACTGAGTTATAAATTACTTAAATGTTTAAGTAATTCAAGAATATTCAATATAACTGAAAAAGTTATTTCATAATTAAAGGGTTCTATTTTCGGGACACCCTGTACATATTAGCAAACTATAGTAGTACTAAAAAAGTAAACAAAATGATACATGTATAAAAAGTACAATCAAACAATTAATAATAAATAAGAATTCATTTAAAGTGCCTATTAGACACAACATAATATCAACAATATCTATAATTTTAGGATTGCCCAATTTATCTGAGCACCATTACTGACCTACCCCGGAATTTTTTACACTGATTATCCAAAAATTGTATTCAATTATGGATGCAAGTCGCCACATAAACACATATTTCATTCATTCATGCTTCATAATCTTTACACTTTACCATCATCTTTCTCAGAATTCTAGATTCTAGGACCGTTTTAGCCATTTTTGAGACCTCCGCTATAAGAAAACTCACATTTATCAATTGGGTAATTTGACCAATCAGGTCATTGTCTATATATCACACACCTCTAATTGGCCAATATAGATATAGTCCATATGTCTAATCGACCAATCATTGACCATCTATCACATTGGCCTCTTGGCCAATCAGATCAACCGTACTATCACACGCTCCGAATGTATACTTATGACTTCATAATCATCTGATTTTTTAATGTCACGCAAACCTTACACTAAAACTATACAATAAACGGTGTGTCACTGTAGTACAAAATAAATGATTTAGAATAAATAATTACATAACTGTTAATATTAACTAGGCTATACTTCAATTTACTTGCACATTTGGTTTATAAAGTTTCATTGCTTGCTTGCACAGTCTTCCTGTACTGTTATCATTTTCAAATCTGTGTACTCTTTTAAAAGTATTCGTTTTATATTTAATTTCATAATTTGCTTACACAAAAACTCTGTCCATTTTAACCATTACTGTTCAGGTTTCTGCACACTTGTATTTTTTTACTTTATGTATCAGTTTTACACTCCCCTCCAAAACTTTAGCATCACATACCTTCAGACCATGTGTTACAGACATCATAAAACTCATAAATAGATGACTTTGGTTATTGGGGAAAAACGTCAAACGTCAAATAGTCCGGGGAGTCAAACTTTTGCAGGGGAGTGAACAAATTCTTTGGTTTGAACAATGAGCGTCATAGCATAGCTTATGGACTAAATCAGTGCCAAGGTAAGTGAAAGCAAGTGTTCTGAGCAAAACAGCGAGAATGTAGAATATTATCATGACGCAACAAGATAGTTTCATCCCACTTAGAGCACTGAAAAGCTTCGCTGCAACACTATTTGCTTGCACCATTTACTTGCACAGTTCCATTACTTGCATTGACACGTATCACGTTCATTGGTCCCGCACCTAATCCTGGAATAGTCCCTACCCCAGGAAGCCGTGATGGCAAACCTGGCTGGCTGACACGGATGATATTCTGGGTGCTTGGATTATACACCGCAGGCTGTCCGATTCTCACAGGTGGGTTTCCAATAAGATTTGGGTTTGGTATCGTAGTGGTGGCATATGATGGGCGCGGCTGAATGGCTACACCTTGAGTCTGAGGACCACGGAGGTAGTTTCCACCAGGGAAGGCAGATGATTGGACAGGACGTTGTTGTAGTCCTTGCTGAAAACATACTAGTTTATTAGATGGGTGGTATCATAGGGTATTATATGATTGGTGGGTTTAAATGGTTACACCCTGAGTCTGAGGACCACAGAGGTAGTTTCCACCAAAGAAGGCAGATGATTGGACAGGACGTTGCTGTAGTCCTTGCTGAAAACATAATAGTTTATTAGATGGGTGGTATCATAGGGTATTATATAATGGGTGGGTTTGAATGGCTACACCCTGAGTCTGTGGACCACAGAGGTAGTTTCCACCAGGGAAGGCAGATGATTGGACAGGACGTTGTTGTAGTCCTTGCTGAAAACATAATAGTTTATTAGATGGGTGGTATCATAGGGTATTATATGATGGGTGGGTTTAAATGGCTACATCCTGAGTCTGAGGACCATGAAGATAGTTTCCACCAGGGAAGGCAGATGATTGGACAAGACGTTGTTGTAGTCCTTGCTGAAAACACAATAATGAATTAGATTGGTAAAAAAGGGTGAAAAATCCATGATCTTTTAGAAATTAAAAATAAACACTAAAAATTCATTCACATTGACAAAATTTTAAAATTCGTGTATATTCAGTGATATTTCTGTGATTAGCATACATTTAAAGATGTTATCTTGATATTCTATTACAATATAATGCAATGTTACAAAGTTGTGGTATTGTACATTGGAATATCATGGGGCATATAGCCATAATATTCACTTTATAACTAAGCATTATTACCTGAGGGGTCTGCAACTTGAGGAATGCTTGAAGTCTTGTTTGAAGTTCCTGGGGTGGAATATTGGGATTCTGAAATATCAAAAATAAATTACATTTGAAGGCAATAAGAAACAAACACAACATATTGCAGTTTATTACAAAAATTTCTAGTGCAAAAATTTGATTAGCTTGATTTGATCATGGATTTCAGGGTTCATATTTGAGTTTGATTGTAGTCATTGTTCGCCACCATGATCTCATTATAGCCTATAATAGTTTTAGTTGACAGTAACCTTCTGTACAGTAAATGAGTCTTTTTGCAAAGAACGTGAGTCTTTTTGTACAGAATGTGAGTCTTTTTGTACACTACATGAGTCTTTTTGTACAGAGTTTGAGTCTTTTTGTACAGTGTTTGAGTCTATTTGTACAGTGCCTGAGTCTTTTTGTACTACAGAATATGAGTCTTTTGATACAATGCGCGAGTCATTTTGTACAGAACATGAGACTTTTTGTACAATGCATGAGTCTTTTTGTACAGCATGCAAGTCTTTTTGTATAGTGTTTGAGTCTTTTTGTACAGTGCGCGAGTCATTTTGTACAGAACATGAGACTTTTTGTACAATGCATGAGTCTTTTTGTACAGCATGCAAGTCTTTTGTATAGTGTTTGAGTCTTTTTGTACAGTGCGTGAGTCTTTTTGTACAGTACATGAGTGTTTTTGTACTTACATATTTGAGTATCTCCTGTACAACTCTTGGAAGCTGTTGAAGTCCAAATGCTGAGTTCCCAGATGAAAGATTCTGTCCTATTGCTGCAATATACGGAATAAACTTTTTAATATGTAAACTTGTTACTATATAACATAAACAACTACTAACTATATACATGCTTGTTAATATATGGCATATACAATTCCTATATGGCATATAGGTGTTACTACATGAGAACAAATGTCATTACTAAACAGCATTAGCTATATGGTATGAATTTGTTACATAATCTTGTAACAATAGGCAGGGGTTTCATTAGCAGCAGGCAACCTGCGATTTTCACCAGTTGTTTTCACAAAATCGCCTGTTGTTTTTAGGGACTTTACGAGTATTCCATGTTAAATTTATGATCTCAAATAAATTTGCCTGATGTTTTCATTTATTTAGCCTATTGAGAGAAATTCCAGTGAAATCCCTGATATTGCATACATTTCATATGTACTCCAGCTCCTAATACAAAGGGTATAGGTCAATTGTACTCACCACCAAAACCACCATATCTCATCATTCCTTTCTTCTCATTTTCGTATTCCTCCCAAGCAGCTTTCCTCTCATCTTCATTAAGTTCCTCTTCAACAAGATGTTCCAACAGGGAGTCGTGTTCTTGGTAGCTGACTATGTGGTCTTTCTTACTCTTTAAGATCTCTGTTAATATCACATCCTATAGAAACATACACATATATCAAAATATTTACAAAACAGAATGAACACAGCTACAGTGTATATATCTTTCTGAAACAATGCAACACTGAAAAGAGGTACCTAACATGAATTATCACAAATTGATGAGCTTGAACATCTGGTTAAATATGTGAAAATGGAACTTCCAGTTGCAACATATTTCAGAGAATTACTCCAAAAAATATTGGGCGGGGCAGTTCTGCTATATCCAGCTTCTGATAATCCAGTATTTGTATAATATTTATAATGTTTTGTTCAGATGTACCTTTGGTAACTTGGGTGTTGGTCTTTCCTTCTTGTCCTCTAGCCTGTCTGGTTGGAAGTTGTAGAGTTCTTTGAGATCATTAGAGTTGAAGTGACGTTCTATCTGGTGTTCGTCTATGACACGTTGTGACAGTGAGAGTTTCTCTATTTGCCTTTCATAGATCTTTTCCTCCATTGTACCCTACATAGTAAATGAAGAGCAAAGATATATGTATCTATGCAAAGATATATCAATTCTTATCATTTTAAGTGACAGTGTAAATGAACCTGTCTAATGCATTTACATGCAAATAAAGAACAAGGTTCATGAAAGTTAAAGTGACCTTCTTTCTTGTGTTTGTCTATAACACGTTGTGACAGAGAGAGTTTATCTATTTGCCTCTCATAGATCTTTTCCTCCATTGTACCCTACATAAGGAATTAAGCACAAATGATCAACCTTATCATTCCAAGTGACTTTGCAATTGAGGCTCTCCTTAACTCACTGCTGGCCAAAGCTATTTTTGAGGTTTTCTGCTGGTGACTGGCCATTTTGATGAAAAATTTAGCAAAATTGCATGTTTTCTTATTAGCATAAAATGGACTGTATCAACATCTGCTGTGCTATGTTTTATGCCATTTTGAAGCAAATGACAATACATTGGGTTGGTCAGCAATGGGTTAATAAAATACAAGGCATCAACTTCAAAGTGTCACCACCTGCTACAGGCGCCGAACACCAATCACTGAACACAAACTGCCAACCGCTGTCCACAAATAAGTTGAAGACTATAACAATATGTCACTTTTTGTGGTGCTGACATGAAAATCAAACACTATTCAAAAGATAATAAACATAAAATGTGCATGAAAGTTGGAACTTGTTTTAGTTTTACTATATGAACAATGAACTTTCGTTAATATTTTTAAAGTTAAACAACAATTGTACATTTAGAATACCTGAGCTAAGAATCTGTATACAAAGACATCTTTGACTTGCCCAAACCTATAGACTCTAAATATTGACTGGACGTCATGGGAGGGGTTCCAAGATGCATCAAATATGATAACTCTGTTTGCCTTGTCCAAGTTGATTCCTAGAGAACCTGCCTTAGTAGAAATCAAGAACAGCCTAGCCCTGCAAAATAAGAAATTTAAAATTAAGGTGGACTGGACATCTAGGTTCTCTCAGGTTACACAACACTTCGGGACAATTTGGCACCAGAATTTGGCATGCTTTTAATTCTGAAAGCAATGCCAAATTGAGGCTGGTGTGTGTGGGTACATTGCAAAAACGCGCATACAATTTTTCAAATTTGGTCAATTTAATTCCACTTTCATTTTTCTTAATAGCCCAAAATAAAAAGTATTATAATACAAATATGATACTACTATTACAAAGAAAATTGTGAGGAACCAAATGTTACCTTTTGTTCTTAGAGAACTCTAGCTGGTATTTCTTCCTTAGTTTGGCATTGGTTGAGCCATCAAACCTGTAGTAATCTTTACCCTTTTCCCATTTCTCCATGTTCATTGCAGGGGTCTACAAATAAATAAATTTGCTTTAAAACAATTTCCAAATTTTCAGAATTTTGGTTCTTACCATTGTCTTTTTTCTTAAATCCTTATAATACATATACCAAAATGGATTAGCGAAGACACTATAACAGAGTGGTATTATGTTTAGATTGATGTCAAGAACATATAATAAAACTTGGAGATCTGATATTGACCTTGACCCAGAAAAAATGAACAGATAAGGGCCTTTAGCGTAACTCATGCTCACTCCCTCTTATGCTACAGCGAATACACTTAACAATTTTGGCAGCCCACTACCACAGCCCACTAAATTTGCAAACCTCCAAAAAATAAATTGTTTCATTAACCTCATTAACGAGATTTTAATCAGTAATAATTCAGTCAATCACTCTAACAAAGAGTTAACTCTTACCTTCTTTTTCTTCTTATTTTTCTCCTCTGCCTGATTGTGCATGTGTTCAAGGAAACTTTCAATGAGATCTAAAGACAGCAAGCTCTGACTGAACACGAGTCTGAAATACAATACAATCAATGTACATCTATGTGTTAAATGATCCCCTCTGCCTTATTGTGCATGTGTTCAAGGAAACTTTCAATGAGATCTAAAGACAGCAAGCTCTGACTGAACACCAAACTGAAATAATAAATATCCATCAAGTAATTTTGCCAGCATGCGCAAAGCCAAATCAGATCTTGTCTGCTCTTGTATCTGTAAATTTCAGGTTAAACAGCTAAGTGATTTTCATTGGATTTTGATGACAAGATTTTTGTGGCGCATGCCTGCATAAAATGACAACAATATGGCACTTTGAAAAAGGGTGGTAAAAAAATCAAGATCTTAATTGGGACTATTTTTCTGACAGTGATGCATCAAACTTTCATACTCAAACTTTCTACTCATCTCGTATCATACTCACACTTTATCCCCCATGGCTCCAGCCAGTTTAACAATCTCAAACATAAGCATCAACTTCCCACTAAGTTCCATCTTGTATTATACTCACACTTTATCCCCCATGGCACCAGCCAGTTTAACAATCTCAAACATAAGCATCAACTTCCCACTAAGTTCCATCTTGTATTATACTCACACTTTATCCCCCATGGCCCCAGCCAGTTTAACAATCTCAAACATAAGCATCAACTTCCCACTAAGTTCCATCTTGTATTATACTCACACTTTATCCCCCATGGCACCAGCCAGTTTAACAATCTCAAACATAAGCATCAACTTCCCACTAAGTTCCATCTTGTATTATAGTCACACTTTATCCCCCATGGCACCAGCCAGTTTAACAATCTCAAACATTAACATCAACTTCCCACTAAGTTCCATCTTGTATTATACTCACACTTTATCCCCCATGGCACCAGCCAGTTTAACAATCTCAAACATAAGCATCAACTTCCCACTAAGTTCCATCTTGTATTCATCATCTTCTTTAACAAACTTTTCCCACCATGGAGGGGGAGGCTTCTCTCTTAATTCCTCAATTTCATCATCAGACTCTACAAGATAATTAAAATGATTAAATTTAATTAAATAATTATATACAATCTATTCACTGTATATGTATGTTATAAAGTTAAACAATGTCAAAAGATGTTAAAATGCTCCATAATCTAATATTCTAAAAGATATAGAGGTTCTTTGGGCATGTACTCTTGAGCAGCTTCAATTATAGAACAAGTATGAATATCGATGCGTGTATGTCTCTCATATTCACTTACTCTTTTCTTTATTCAACCTTGTGTTCCTCCAGCCTCGCACCCTTTCCCCGTGTATAATATCTCTCGCATCATCATCTTGTCGAGGCTTCAGCTTTGCCTTCCTGAAATTGGAACATTATTATGTAATAAGAAGGCATTAACATGCAAAATGTCACCACCTGCCATTTGTTACAGACGGAATGCTGACCATCAAACACCATCCACAAAAAGTTTGAGACTATAACAATGTGTGACCAGCTTACCACTTGTGGTGGTGACATAATCATATCTTTACATTGTATGGCTATATTTTACTGTACTGTATTACATACCTAGCGAAGCATTTGTATTGATGTCAATTAGAAAGTTAGCGGGCTATATCCAACGATATTGCACGATTACCCTGATATAGCCCCCTTAACTTGTTTTAATGTAAGATTCTTTAATAAACATGATAATATCATGACCTCATGATCCATTCGGATTAAATTCTTCTCGCATACAGATGTGTGACGTCATTAATACAAAGTAACCATGGGAAGTAAGGTATGTAATACATGTCACTATGACGTGAAATATGCCTTCATTCTTGCTCAAATATAGAGCCTCCAAAGGTTGGCATATATTGGGAGAACTCGGGCATATGTCCCGTTATAGTGACATAACCTCTAATTAATATTCTTGTTTTACTAACAATTTGCTGCTTTGTATACTCAAATACAAACTGGCCTTACGTGTCAGCTATCATTCACAACACATATTATTGAAGGAAAAACAGATTACAGGTAAAAATCTGGTGATATGATAGAGCCATGCTTATTTATAAAGAAAAAAATACAACTCCTCGATCATCATTAGACAACTTGGTTAACCCTATAAAAAATTAGGAAATTATATACAGGTCAAAAAAAATATGGCAATCTATCTTAAGGGGGGTTAGACAAAAAAGGAAATAAACTGAATTTTGCTCCCAGATGAGGAACATCTGCTTATTTAAGAGAAAGAAAAAAGATTTTCCACTTTTACCTGCTACGTTTTTTCCTCTTTGTTAGATCTTCACTGTCATCTGATTCCTCGCTGCTAGAGATTGACTCTGAAGACGTAGTTGTCTGATCTGATGTCACCTCATCTTCTTCTTCATCTTCGTCAAATGAGTCAACGGATTCTTCATCTAACTCTTTCTGCTGCAAAATCAGATATATCATGTGTTAATCTCATGTAATAATATGTACTATGAACATTGAAATTAACATTTATTGATTTATAGATGTAACTAGCAGAAAATTACATAATCTCAAACTAAAATCTGAATGCATGAAAAAGCTTTGGTGATGCCTTGGTCACATATGCTCCGATCCATCGGCCGGTGCCCGGCCGATTGAGTGTTTTGTTCAATATTGTATTCAATTTTCAACAAAATACTCAATCAGCTGGGCGCCGTAGTGAAAATCGGAGCAAAAGTGATCAAGGCATTAGAGAGTATACAATATAGTATTGAGCAAATAAAAGAAACCACATCTAAAATAAAAACTGAACTTTATGCTGTGGAATATTGAGGATATAAACTGGTTAAAAACATTACAATATGTATATGCAATGTAAGAAAGTGTATTAGATAGATATAATCTATTATCACATGATTAGGAGTGTCTAAGCATTTTGATTGGTCAATTGTGATGATGTATATTCCGTATCACATGACACGTGACTAATTTTCATGTGATACAGTGGGTTGTATCACTACGGAGTCAATAACAACGATAGATTGGAGTTCTTTTACTTACAATAGTCTACAATACAGTACATAGTTTATTATTATAACGTCATTTCCTAGGTAGCAAGGTGTGTGAAGTCATATATTTCTGAACAGTTTGAATAGTGTAACGTCACTACTCTGGAACTTTCACTTATATGACGTCAGTAATTAGTTACCACTAGTTACATGGTCGTGATACGGGAAATACCAGGAAGGCTACAACCAATCAGATCACTGGAATTTTACATACTATGTGATAACTGATAATACTGACAATACAAATACAGTATAAAACCTGTAAATATAATTCGATGAAATGACAACTTTTCTGCTTGATAGAAAGCGGAATGGGGATCAATTTAGAATGTGCAATGTAAATGTTCGCTGAAAATGAAAAGTTGGCAAAATATGAGTTATTTTCTATAAAATATCAGGGAATATAAATATTGTAAATAAGCATGCTTAACATTAAATAAAACAAAACTGTAATTTCCATTAAAAACATGTAACACGATATGTACAATTATATTTAAACTTGCATTTTGCATATGTAGCCTCCTCTCCTTATACACACATATGTACATCAGAAAAGATGGAAGGGGGGGGGGGGCTTATGATGCAGGACTAAATAATATTATCAAGAACTTGAAATAACATTAATTTTCATAAATCTATATAAATGTTAACTTGTTACCATTCTCTTTTCTTTTTCCCTCGTCTTAAGTAATGAAAGAGAAGATACTGTTTTAAAGAAATGATTATACACATTTTTCGATTGAGACTTTTTTAACATGAAAAATATCCAAACTTGATATATTCTGTTACAGTAGAATTCTCTTTAATCTTAGCAATCAAATTTAATTCTTACATGATTTCAGATACTCTTTATATTTTTCTCCTTTGTTAGTTTTGTCTGTTTAGTATTCAAACTTTATTACTTATTTCCAGCCCATCTTTAAAGATGGCATTGCAGTGTTACCCTACTTTGAAATCTCTGAGGCCTACCAATTCCATGTATTTTATTAAACCAAAATGCTCCTCAATGCAATTAGATGTGCCTCCTAAAATGTTACAATAAAACTCTTAAAAGTTACAAAATACTAAAATGTTACACTAGAAAAATAACAAAATCCTCCATACAAGAAAATTCTGGGGAGGGCACTACATCATGAATAGTGGTGTCATCTTGATGCGTGCACAGTTTTCAATATCATCACCTTGGCATCCGCGTATGAAAATAAACACATTTTCCTTTTTCATTGATCTCATACCTTTCAGTTTATCTGTCCACTATATGTTAACAAATGGAAACATTCTATCCATATATGATACTGCTGTTCACTATTGCAGTCCCCTAACACATCTCTTAGAGAACTACTTTTCTTATGTCACAAAGTGTAAGAATACATACATGGACTTTTAACTTGACACGACTGTGTATTAGTGTAACTGCGTCACTGGTCAACTCTCAAATAGAAGGTAGGTACTAATCAAAATTGGCAAAATAAATTATGTCAAAAAATGTTAATGTTCATAGATAAGGTAGTACCTAAAATGAAGTTGTTTCTAGCACTTGATCGCTAGATAAATTCAGATTTAGATACTTTCAAGATGGCCACCATTGTCTTCCTCACCAAAAATGTAATGAGAAAGAGGGCAAAGTACAGTCCTAGTGTTTTTGTGCAACTCTGATTTTTGTGAAACATTTCAGTGTTTACAATTTACAAATGTTTCAACTGATAGATTATTGTTTGGTATGCCTATTAAATACCATAGAGGGTTACTTTAGTTTGGTATTAAAAAGGAGCAATTATTAAAAGGCCACAGGACCAGAGGACTTAGAATAGGCGAAAGCCTCTTGTCCGATCCATTTCGTCCAATTGTATTAATATAATGTATGTAAAACTTAGAGACGAATAAAATATTTTTAATAATTAATAATAATAAAAGGCCACAGTGAAATACATTACAGGGTGGCCAGAAAGGTCCATTTATTTTGCAACTAAAAATTGGCAACTCAACTAACTCACAAGGTAAAACAAGTTCCCAAGATTGCCAGACAGGAGATTAAGAATCTGTTTTTTAAACAAATCAC